CCAGCGTGGATTAGAGGGGCAGAATCACCTCACTCAACCTGCTGGCCACGCTTCTTTTGATGCAGCTCAGGATACGGTTGGCCTTCTGGCCTGCGAGGGCACATTGCCAGCTAATGTCCAGCTTTTCATCGACCCACACCCCTCAAGTCCTTCTCCACAGGGCTGCTTTCAATCCCTTCATACCCCAGCCTGTATTGATACCAGGGGTTGCCCCAACCCAGGTGCACAACCTTGCACTTGGCCTTGTTGAACCTCATGAGGTTCACAAGGGCCCACTTCTCCAGCTTGTCCAGGTCCCTCTGGATGGCATCCCATCGCTCAGGTGTGTCAGCTGCACCACTCAGCTTGGTGTCGTCTGCAAACTTGCTGAGGGTGCACTCAATCCCACTATGTCATTGATGAAGATATTAAACAGCACTGGTCCCAATACAGACCCCTGAGGGACACCACTTGTCACCAATCTCCATCTGGACATTGAGCTGTTGACTGCTACTTTTTGGATGTGACCATACAACCAATTCCTCATCCACTGAACAGTTCACCCGTCAAATTCCTAACTCTCCAATTTAGAGAGAAAGATGTGGGGAACAGTGTGAGCCAGAGTCCAGATAGATGACATTCATAGCTCTTCCCTTGTCCAGTGTTGTAGTCACTCCATCACAGAAGACCACTAGGTTGGTCAGGCAGGACTTGCCCTTGGTGAAGCCATGCTGGCTGTCTCAAATCACCTCCCTGTCCTCCATGTGCCTTAGCATAGCTTCTAGGAGGATCTGTTCCGTGATCTTTCCAGGCACAGAGGTGAGGCTGACAGGTCGGTAGTTCCCAGGGTCCTCCTTTCTATTCTTTTTAAAAATGAGTGCAATGTTTCCCTTTTTCCAGTCACCAGGGACTTCACCTGACTGCCATGACTTTTCAAATATCATGGAAAGTGGCTTCGCAACTACCTCAGCCAATTCCCTCTGGGATACATCTCATCAGGTCCCGTAGACTTATGTATGTTCAGGTTCCTCAGGTGGTCACAAACCTGATCTTCTCTTACAATGGGAGGGACTTTGCTCCCTTAGTCCCTGTCTTGCAATCCATCCACTTGTGAGGTGTGGGAAGAGAAGTGTCAGTGAAGACTGAGGCAAAACAAGTTGTTGGGTACCTCAGCCTCCTCCTCGTCTGTTGTTACCAGTTTGCCAGTCTTGCTTATTGGGGGGTGGTGGTGTGCAAATCTATCACCACAGACATCACTTTTCATTTGCAAATGGCACAATCTCCGTACACAACCAGCTTCAGTCAGTCTGCCAGTGTGACAGATTGTTCCTTTGCAAGTGAGCTGTAATGAGGAGACTCCTGCACGAAGGACATAGCAATCCAGGGACCCTGTTGTGCTGCACCACCACTAATGCAAACAGAACAAAGAGAAGGGGCAGCCCCAAGTACTAGAGACTGAGGATGCATACAGCTACTGCAGGAGCATTTAGATATACAAAGTTTTCAAGTGACCTATAATTTCAGCTCGATTAGTAGATTTTTCTCCAACTATGTAACTCATTGCAGTCATTTGTCACTGAGCTCTGGGGAGCCATCCAGCGGGAAACAAGAACCGTTTCCCTGACACAGCCTGTCACCTGGGCAGTCAGCATCTCTCAGCACTTGTGCTGTTGTATAAATTACACCCTCCCAGCTTGGTCAAGTATGTCCATCACTCAGCACATATGTAATCTTCACTATTTTATTGTCTCATTGATGGAAGAATTAGCTGCACAGTGGGAAGCACATTAAGAAAGGACTACCAATTATTTTGCCCATGTTACTAACTTCTTTAATCCCCTGTAATCTCTTCTAAGGGGGGATTCATATCTACTCAAATCACTTCACATATATAATGTAGCAGAAGCACTACACACCAGGGAAAACAAAAACGCTGCTACTGGTCCTTGACAGTATCAAGCACAACAGCCATCGCTGGAGAACGGATCATAATGGGCAAACAGTATGCAATGGCACTGTCCAAGCTAACCTCAGTTCCTTGATCCATTCAGTTGGGAAGGTCATCATCATCTAGGTCATAACCTCTGTTTCTCCAATAATGAGCGAACTACAGCCTAACAACAGGAATCTAGTTTTGTTCTAAACACCTTGTGGTGTTCCCATCTGCCCAGAGAGAATCTATCTATCCATTTCAGAAGCTGGTATCAAATGTGGTGAGGCTATTCAGCACCTGGTTTGGAGACGTAATTTGCGGATCTTGAAGGTGCAGGAACTATGGCACAGGACACTCAAATCACATTACAGAGTGAGATAAATCACATTACATCAAGAGATAAAACTTTTTCATCTGTTTTTTGTTGTTGTTGTTTGTTTGTTTTTTCCTATATTAACATAGTGAACTGAAGCTGCTGATCACTGTTGCAGCTGAGATAGGGCAAAAAAAAGAAAGAAAAACGTAAGATTCAACCCAGAGAAGCTAGGGGTGATGTAAGCGGTAAGGGAATCACCAAGGCAGTGCCACATATAATCATAGCTTTTGATAAATGAACTTAGAATGCAGAGCAACTTTTGCATTTGGTTGTTCTCAGTCTCCTGACTTTCAGAAATTATTTACTTGATCTTTCTTTCTTTTCTGGCTTATCTCAACAGCTTTGTCTTTTCCATAGTATGTGCCCTACTGCAGTCTTCTCAGCCTTCAAGTTGGTATTACTGCAATGAACACTGCTGGAACTAGGCTTCAGTTACCACTCACATTCGATTAGGGCATTAATATTGTAGTTCATTAGTTTGGTGGAGCTGCTTATGTCAGCATTAAAATGTATATTCTTTAAATGACACAGTTTTTATCCACTTCTCAGTGCAATTCCAGAAGTTTCTAAGATACAATACCTTCGATGGCGTTAAAATTGGCTTGTCAGTCATTTGCTATGCAACAAAAAATGAATTAGATCTGTTACAGCACTTTATTATGCTCATTTTGACCCATATCAGCCAACATATACTAACTTTCTAATTAAAGTCCAAGACATTCTCTGAAGTTGGTGATTAGATAAAGCCTGAGTTATTTTAGAGACACTCGGGAGAAGAGATGTTTGTAAAGAGTTGTCGTCCATTGTGGGCAGTTGAAAGCAAAACCACATATAATTTATCCACCTGTTAGAAATGGATCCATCAACTCACGTAAGAATCATTAGCATTTTAACAAAAATCTGTCAGATTTAATCAAAGTCATGAAAGAGGGTCAAAATACATATAAATTCTTCAATAAGTTACAAGAAAGACTTCTTTCAACAAAACTCAGCCGTTAGAATATTTCTGTATCTCGCTACCTGTGTATGTATGATTTCATACCCCTCTAATCTTAATGCAATAAGAAATACTTTATCAGCTCAGTATCTGTGCAGATCTACGCAATATGAATTACAGTATGCTTTGAAATGAAGGTCTATACTCTTAATTCTGGCTGCAGAGGAATAATTACAAATTTGACTCCGGAGCATCAAGTGTGCACTAACCATAGAGCAGGTAAAGTGGGTAAACTCTTGGGACTATTAGGTTTTTCACTCAATGGTGGTTACATTGTTCTCACTGAGTGACTAGGGATTATATTGTTTTCCAGAAATTCAGAAAAGCATTACCCCAAAAGTTAGTTTATCACTCTTAAAACCCATAATATATCACCATCTTTATGATGCTTGTGGAATTTTGTGGAATGCTTAAGACAACGAGCCTGAGCTCAATTTAGGATTTAGTAGAGAATACTACTATATACCAGTGCAGACAAACACAAGCTGATGTGGGACTCTTCATAAAAATAGCACTATTTATAAACTTAAATGCCTCTGTTGATTTAATGGCAGAGCTGCTTACCTCATATGCAAAACCATACCATTATGACTGTAGCATCAATTCATTAATCAAAATGACAGAGTGTCTCACAATCAAATGAGAGAGGTTCTGGTACGTCTTATGACAGCAGTGCTTGTGATACAGCCATACTGGATCCATTTGCAATTGAACTGGAAACCAGCTATTTTCTATACTCAACAGAATTCTGATTTATGATGTGCTTGAAATTACTGTGGATTTCTATTAAAGACAAATGGCAGTAAGGTACCCTACTTACCTGTAATTTAGTTATGTAACAGTAGTATCCTCCATAGATCCCACATCCTTTGGGGTTTTTTGTTTTTCAGATATGCAACTTTCAGAGCCAACTTGGCATTTTTTAAGAGTTTGGCCTTTTTCCTGAGGCCCTAAGCAAACCTCAAGCCATGAAGGAAACGGGAATTTATACAGGCCTGCACAGACTCAATCAGCAGTTTCCTTTCCACTGACATCCACAGGAAGCCAGCATGTATGGAAAGATGGGGGCATGCAGACATTGACAATTACAGATAGGCCACTTTTCCCACATTTGGAAATGTACAGCTCAAGCCTACCTATTTAGTTAGTGTCTTTAATGCATGGGAACCCTCTACTAGCTGGCAGATTTTCTCTTTGAAAAGTTTATTCGTTTATTCTATTACTCAGCATACGCAATGGTAAAGTAAAGCTGCAAGACGACAAAAAAGGGCCAAAGAAAATGACATTCTAGGTGAAGCTGTAATGTTCAAAGGTGATAAGGACATTTCTAGTCAGTAAGTGTACCACTTTAAAATATTTGTGCCTCAAATACTTTAGGTATACTCATAGACCCAGCCACTAAAATAAAGCTTGGGAGGATGACACACAAGCTCATTACAGATACATACATTCACTTAACTTACTTACACATTCTGAAGATAGTATGATCTCCTCTAAAAAAGAAGAATTTATGTTCCAAGACTGCAGCCCTCTCGTTAATTCATTTCACTTGTGCATTTTTAGCCTGTTCATAGAGACTTATTTCTGACTCAGTCTTTAGAAACACACCCCCTGGTATCAACTGTTCCAGCTAAGGATTGCTTACAGGACAAAAATAACTGACTAGAAAAAGAAACTGCAAATTTAGGGGCCCAATATACAAAAAGGTGACATACCCTTCCTCAATTGTAACAGAATTCATGATGATGCAGTTTGTTATCTTAACTTTGTCTTTTATGGTACACATGCTGCCGATGACAGAGTGTTTAATGGATGTCTTCTCTCCCACTTGGGTGGATGACCCAATGATGCTGTCCGATCCAACCTAGGGAAGAACAGAAAGTGGAAAAAGTACCTGGAGCTGTCCAATATGTGTTATCCATACACTTTTTCCAAACAGCACATCTCAAGCACTCATCAACAAAGTGCACCCTGCTCTACCCTTAGGGATCCTTAGCAGAGGAAAGACCTAGAAATTCGGGGCCCATCCCATAGGCAGACAGTTGGACAGTCTTCCCAAGGTCCATTAGCTTGGTAAAACTCCATTAGCTGGTCCAGCTCTGTAGGCCTCATGCAGCAAGTTAAGCACGGTAAGAACAGTCCTGCTGGTACCGGCTGGTTTCACTAAGGTTTGCCCAGTGAGTCCTATGAAAAGGAGGCTTGAGGCTGGTATTCAATCAAAATGCTTTAGCAAGAAGCAGAGCTAAAATACTGACCCATTCTGAGTTTGGTGTCCTTTGGGAGGCAAACTGCTCAACTACCATGAACTATTAGGGAATGAGAGACTGCAGCATCTGACTTGGGAGTAACATAGAATTTTTACCAAACATTTTTAAAGATGGAGACTGAAAGGCAGGAACCCATGGCTGAGTCTATGAGGAGACTCTGGGCTGTATCACCTACATTGTAATTCTACACTTCAGAACTCAGCTTCACTTCCAACAGTGGGACTGAATTTTAGGAAGCAGTTCTTGAAGCAAAGGGCGGGCAGATTATATTGAAAGAGCAGAGACAGGGAAAGGGAACACTTACCATGCCTTTATCAGTGATCTGTGCAGATCCATGAACCAGTGGCTCTTCCAGACCCAGATTAAGCAATAGCTTGGGAACCTGGATGGAAAAACCCACATCACAAGTTAACATGACAGTGCTGTACCCACATGTTACATAAACAGCTCAAAGATGGCTTTAGTTTCTAGTGCATCTACCGTAAACATTTTAACTTAAAGGAAAACATAGGTTCCTGCATTTTAAATCATCTTCCCCTTTTGTAAAGGAGACAGGTGTACTTCCACTGCAGTGCACTGCATGTATCCTCTCAACTTAGCTTCCCACCTGTGAAGCACTGGATCAGCAGCAGCAAGCAGGCTGGCTCCAGCTGAACACAGTGACGTCCTGTACATGACTACAATGTCCAGCATCTGCCATTTCAAACCAGCCCAATGTGTTTTACACTGTTCCGTAATGCAAGAGAGGGAAGCAAGTAATATCAAATATAAATCAATAAACTGGCATAAAAAGATTAATACGTTCAGCCCACTCAATAAGGTTTCATGCTGCGGTACAGGCAACAAAAAAGTATTTCAGATGTTTAAGGAGAAAGAAACAAAGTTGACCAAGTGGCTATTCCAGATGGTAGAAAGCTGCAGGAGAAAATGCTCTTGACAGAAAGAAGGTAGGTGTTAGACAAACAGACCAAGCAGTGATGGTAATAGAGAGAGAGACGGCCCATGAGGTAGCCAAGAACGAATCCATGGAGAGAAATTCTGAACTGGCTCCTGAAAAGAAAGGGGAGCCAGCATTGTAGGAGGATGGGATATCACTCCATCATTTGCCCTTTCCTGGGTGAAAGAGCAGCTCACCATTCTGCATCATCTCCTGGTGTCAGGCTGGGGGCCAAGGTCACACACCACAGAAGAGGCTATGACAGCACGGATGGGGATTTCAGGGGAGGTGGGAGTCTTGCAGCAATGCACAGACAGTGCTGTACAGAGTTAATTGCAGCGGTGATGCAATGTATGATGCATCTTCATAGGACAGAGATGGCAGTTAAAGAAACACAGGAGATACAGAAGGCTGCAAAGTGATGCATGAGGGCTAAGAGGTCTGTGCCATGGCCAACTGTATGCCTGAGTGAGAGGCAGCGTGTGCTGGGGCTGGTGTGGAGCTCTGCACATGCTGTTTGGCCAGCCAGGATGTGTGCACTGACTGTCCATCTGGGAGGTCAACTGGAATCTCAGCACCACAATGGTGTAACTGGGTTTGCCCGAGGGGAGGAAGTGGCACTCATTAAGTCTCTCTTTTCTCTACCCAGGCACTTATTTTTACAACAGTTTTAGAAAAGTTTATCTTTGACATCCCTATTGCTCTGTTAAATTTGGCTGAGAGTTGCCAGCAATTTCCAAAGGTGCTACGAAGGAGCTGCCATACAGTACGACTGTGTAAAATGACTTCCTTAGAAAGCTGGGATAACAAGAGCTGATGGCTAGGGAGTGAACCTCAAGAAGCAGATCCCACAGATCTGAAGAAGTTGAGACCAGATCAGAATAAAAAAAAAATAAACTCAAGATCTCAAATGAGATGATACTTGCAGGAAGTTGGATATTCATAATATGACCAGCCCGTTTCCCTTCCAACATGCAAGGATGGAAAAATAGTGCTGGTTTTCATACGATAAGAATTTTCACAGTTTATGTTTCATTCAAATGAGTGAGATGAGCTCAGATGAGCTCACACCTCTGAGCAATCATTTCAGGCTGCCTGTTGTCCCCTGTAGACATTTCCACATCTGTATCTCTTTACATCTTGAAGATGGTCCTTCCCACTAGACCTGTGTTTTCTTTGGTTTTAGAAAACAAGAGTAGGTGAGATCCTTCAGTCCAAGGTGCAGGCACTACAGAAAACCACCATCTTACCAGAACACCACAACCAGGCCAATCTGCCTGGATGATGTTGGCTTGGTGAAGGGATGTTTTCCTCACCTGACACATAGCTGGGCAGCCACAACAGATAGATCCAGGAGAAGAACACACACTAGAGCATACCTACAGCATAGGTTGGAAAGATTCCTAATATCCAGCTTTGCTCTGTGGGAAGGGAAAGAAACAAGGAAAGGCTCTTGCCTTCCTCAGTGGAAAGGTGGTGTGATGAAATAAACAAAGGATTTTACTAGCAAGAGCAAAGCCCCAATTAGAATCAGTCAATGGTACTGCAGCCTGAGGGGTGACCCAAGAAAGCTACCAGCTCAAGCATTTTGCTCTGAAAAGGAAGGTTAGATAGGGGGCAGGAGTCAGAGGGAGTGCCTGGGTCAAGGGAAGGTTTAAGATGTGTTTGGATTTAATTCATCTTACAAAGAAACTATTTCCTGCTATTGAAGATAACTCCCTCCTGAACCCACCTGCCCACACACAGGCTGCAGGCATCCAGAAACCCAGCTGGAAGTGAAATGATGTGAGTAAAGTGTTTCCTCACCAGAAGGGCAATGGGTTAGGATGCCATTCCTTCTCACAGCTACTGGACTGGACTGCTACTGCTCTGGGAGGCTGTCCTCTTGGACAGCAAAGTTATATGTCCCAGCTTTGCAGCCAGGGAATCAGAATCTGGTTTGTGAAGATAAGAGCAAACAAGACACCAAAAGTCCTACTTAGAGGCCAACAAAACAGGTTTAAAAAAAGCTGATAAAATTAAATGTGTATCTTTTATGAGGATTAGCAAGAGAAACAAAATTCAGTGGCACTGAAAAAAGGAACTCCTTTCTCACAACCCCTCATTAAGCACCATTTTATGTTTTACCTCCACATAGTTTCCTTAGAAATTTTACCATTCTGGAAAAGTTAAAAATTCAAAGAAAATCCTTTCCAATGTTGAAGGCCCCAGTGTGATTTCAAAACACTAATTCTATGTACCACCCAGGAGCAAACACATTTCCTGAACTGACCAAAATGTAGAATATTTAGGTTAAAAAAAAAAACCCAACACAACAGAAAAAAAACCCACATGGGGTCTGACTGGCTCAACTCAATAACTTTTTACTGAAGTGGCTGCTGCCAAATGTACACGCACACTTCCCCTAGCAAGTGGTGCTCTCCCTTAACCCTTTGGGCACACTTGTTCTTGATATTCTCGGGGAAAGTTTTGCCTTTCTGACAACAGTGCTGCCTCCCTCCTCTCTTCCTCATGTCCCTAACTTCACTTTATTTCTGTGCTCCTCTACAGGCACCAAGGAGAAAGAGCTCCAATGTGTGAACTCAGTCTGCCATGCTGCAACTCTAATTTGCATAACTTTATCCATTCATTTTATTAAAAAGAAATCAACTGAATCTGAAAGCAAAGACAAGACAGTGACCACTTCCAGGATTCCCAGTACAACTTTATCGCTCTCCCAGCCCCACTTCCAGAAATCTTGAGTCTTTCCCAACTATATTTCCCTATCGGTCTTTCAAAACTAGAGGAAACTGTCCACTGTTGATAGCAACAAAGTTCATCACTAGCAGAGTGAAGTCAGAACTTGTACACTGCATCAGCCAGTGTAGTTAAGAAAAAAACCCAACAAATTGTATTAAAAGCTTTTAATCATCAGCTCATTAGCTAGTACAGGATTTCGCTAATCCTCCCCTGTGATCTTTTATTTTTCGAATTCTCAGTAGTGTGAAAGTGAAAGCTGCAACAGATGAAGATTTCACCTCTGTGTTTTACCTGGAGTGCCACTGTAGTGAAACCTGTTCATAATTCTTTCATAATGGAAAGCATTAGGCAATTTGAATGTATGAGTACTTTAAGTCTTCCTGCAAATCATTAATATCATTTGTCATTTTCACTTCGATAAACATCAGTTAGGAAGAGAATTGATCTCGCCTTTAGGGCATGGAGGACATTGCTTAGATGAGCTATCAAAGCTGCTTCAGCCTTATTTTCCACACTTCTTGGCTCTTTGGTTGCATGTCTTGCCACCCCCAAAAAACAGAAGAGTGCATGGGGTGGGGGTTTTCTTAGCTAAATCAAAGCTATGGATTAAATTAGTGACATAACTGTTTCCTGGCCTCATGTCCCTATCCAGCAACCAGGAGGGTGATGTGCCCAGATAACATGGCACCGCTTCAATTCCCACACACTCCTCAGCTGTATCATGGGGAGCCACTCCTGGAGGCTAAAATGTCTGATAAACTAATGCTGTATTCCCATGTGGCAGCTCTGTATTCTTCTCACCTGTCGATTAGCTTCAATATACAACCCAAGAGTATTCACTCGGTAGCACAGTCCCTCTTTCATTATATGGACGTAGCAGCGCACTTTTCCTTCATGGAGAGTTTCATTCATATCTCCTCTATGATCATTCCAACAAGAGTTATCTGGAGCAGGTTTCAGCAAGCTATTATCTTCCTTTATGAAACTATAAATGTCTGGAGAACACACACATGCATGAAGTTAGACAGGATTTAATGAACTACTTTCTGAAGAGGAATACTATTAAAAAACTGTTGGTGAAGGGAAATCTTTGCTTCACATCATCTGAATGGCTAGATACTCAGCAATCATTAACAGATTTTATCACATGTAGTGAGTAAGTGCTTATTTTTATTCTGCAGGTGGGAATCATGGGATCAGGACAGATGCAATGTTTTGCTCAAGGTCATACAGGAGACAGCAGAAATGCTAAAAATGAATTGCAAGATCTGAGGTCCTGTCCGGTTCCCAGTGCAGGGTGGTTAAAGTTTAGTTTGTTGCCCTATGCAATTTTAGAAACTCCCTCCTAAAATTGTATTTTCAAAAGTGCATTTACCTATACTGCATTCTAGAAGAAAAAATACAGAGCACCTAGCTGATTTGCTTTTGATTTATACCAAAATAAGGGAGGCCAAAGTATTTATATAATGCAGAATACTGTTTGAAAAAGAAATCTACTACAGTCTTTGTTATCACGAAGTACAAGAGAAAAGAAAACCAAATCTGCAAACCAGTGTTTCAGGCTGACCCTGTGCTCTACCCAATAATTCAGCTGTAGCATATGAGCTTTAAAACCTTCACCAAATCTTTGATACTTGTACTAACCTAGGGATGCTTGTTCCTTTTTCTTTTGGTCCTCTTCTTTGTTGTCTAGTCCTTGCTGCAATGATGTAGGAGAAGAGAACTGTCTCCTAATCAGATGTGGAATCAGTTCACTGCGGAGAGATGTGATTGTCCTGGGGAAGGAGGCACACACATAAAGTCCACAAATGCTGAAACTCACATGTCTTCGTTTTCTTTGCACAACATTATCATTTTGCGCATTTTTGTTCTGAGGATGAATCAAAATGCCAGGTACTCCAAGGCACCTGGCACTAAGACAATGTCTGCTAGTCGTGTGCTTCCTTAATGCATTAAAGCAGAAAGGAAGATTCAAAATAAGAGAAAACCTTAATCTTCAGAACTAATTCCCCTATATTTTGACAAAGATGCCTGTAATTTAGTATGGCTTCACCCTGAAATTCATGCTCGTGTGCAGATAGAAAGCAGAAAGTACCCACATTGTAATGACAACCGAAATCCACTTTATGTGGCTTAAAAAATAGCATCAATTGACAGGAAAAGAGACAATAAAGTGCCTACAGAGGAAAAAACAAAGCGGCTCCTTTTCTTTGTGATAAAAATACGGAAATGCTCAAGGAAATATGAAATATCAGATCCCTAAATGAAAATTTTTGACACAGACATTATTGATGCCCTCCTGCTCACATAAAACATCACGAACATTTTAAAGACTCAGTCCTTTAACCAAGAGAAATCAATACATTTTAACAAGTTTAGGTCCGAAGAGTTTCACGCTTTTTAGGTGCCCTGATTCAAAATACATCAGTGAACAGAAAGCTTCCAAAGGCTTCAGCTGGCAATACACCCATCTTCCCTGAGTACAGATTTCAACTTTTATTACATTCATTTTGACACTCCATTACTAGGAGGCAGAGAAATCCCATGAGGGGTTTGTGATAAAGCAGGGACTTGAACCCAAGCCACCTATGCCTTAAACAAAGACCCTGATCACTAGATTCTTTCCTCTTGCATTGATTTATCCATTACAATGAACCAAGAAAAACCTCTCCCCAATAGACATATACCAAAGTAGAAAGTCTACTGTACAATGGGATTATAACCCTAGTAATTTCATTTTGACTATTAGAAGATAATTTTATTTTTCAATAAAGTATTTGGAAAAAGAAACAACAAATCAATAGTTTTTACAGTTGGAGTGCAGGAGACACAGTCTTAAAAGAGCTTTATTGTTGTTGTTTCATTATTTTAACAATCTGCATTTAGTTACGGAATTGTGGATTATTTAAAGTAGTGCTTGGGAAAATCACGCAGAAAATGAAGTCCGACTTGGCATGTATAAGAGGAAGTGCTAAACTTCAGAGGAAGGACTGGGAGAACTAACACAGAGAGTTTGGCTAGAGGAACTCAACAAATGATAACCCGCAAGAAAGAGGAGTTCTTTAGAATGGAAGACAGCAAAACTAGGAATTAACTATGGGTTAAATTAAAAAAGGAAAGTACTAGAATGAGTATCCCGGAAGTGATTTTGGTTGGCAAAATCTCCAGCAAAGGGGGATCTTAAACAGTTCAAACTTTAAGAAACATGCAGCTCATAACCTGCCCAGGCCCCTGTTCAGGTCAATGATAGTGAAGCAGACCTAAGGACCAAAACAGTCCTTCCTGTCTCTGACTTTGATGGGAAGATTCATATGTGATTGCCAGTTCAGCCCTATGAACAAATGCAGTGTTTTCCTTTTTCCTGACCAACCTTTCCTTCAGTCCTCAACCATAGGTGTGTCACATCCTCTGTCCTGCAGTGGGATGATCTACCCCATGATCAGAAATTCTGCTCTTAGTTTTCATTACAGACAAGGAAAAGCTCTACTCTCCAGTCTCTTCCCCATCTTGAAAATAAGGCTATAATCACCTTCAGATAGCTGTATTTCAGGAACTAATGAAGGAAAACACTTCATTCTTTAATCACCAAATTTCTCCCTGCTAACCACTTACAGGTGTGCTCTGCCATGGCCACCCTGGCCCCACGCTCTGACACACGTGTGGCTGTGCAGATGGGCAGTTTACTAGTTTACAATGTTTGCCTGCAGCTGTACCATTCAGCAATGATTTCCTGCTAGGGTTTTATACTCCATCCAAAACCGACAATCCTATGTTTCCCTCAGAGGCTGGCCATGGCATTTATAAGATATATTACCTATAAAATATCCAAGTATTTGGCAGTCTTAAATAGTCTGATGCAAAAGACAACACAACATGGTAGGAAATTGAAAGAAGTGGAAAGGGGTAAAGACAAAGTTTTGCCTGGTTTTTGACGGTTTACTCTTTCTTGGCCAAACTCCTGAAGCTTTCCTGCAATTCTCTGAAGTACTAGCCACGTTACTTCGGCAAAGGTGGACTAAATCTCTGAGTCATCCTTAAGATGTGGCTCAGAAACACACCCTTCTTACTGGAAAATAAAAACCAGGAAGGTTTGCCTTTGCTTGCTGTTCAAACAATTTATATGTGATATTACAGGAATCTGCGTTTGGAAAGTATTAAAAAATACACAGTAAGGCACGCAGTGACAAAAATTTGAGAATTTTTTGTGACAGATCTTGCAAATGTGGATATATGAAGTGATAGTGTGAGAATATTATCTGACTGTCAACAGCAGGGGAGACCAAACATCTGGCTGGGACTAGGAAAGGAATTTAAATCAAAGGAGGGATAGGACTGAAGACTCTTCATCAAGAGGGAAAAAAACTAGCAAGAGTTTGGAAGAATCGACTAGCCTGTAACCTAGATTCAGGAGAAAACAAGCCAAAAAAGGTTTTTGGACTAGTGTGTTAAAAATTCTTACAATCAAATCTGGAACTACATGTGCCTATATTAAGAAGAAATAAGTGTAAGATTGTATATGCTGAAGAAGCCAGTCTTTTTTTATTCTCTCCAGGTTTTAAAACTTGGCATCCCCCCTGGTTTCTAAGCTTGTTGTTTTCTTTAGCACCAAGAAGTAAGAATGAAATACCCACTGAGATCAACATCAGGAAAAATCTACTATAACCAGGAGAAAGAAAGTGGAGGGGTGGATGGAAAGAAAGGAGGACACACAAATGTTGGCAGAAATCCAAATCTAAGCCAACTTGGAATAAACCATGCTCTGACACCTCACAGCAAAATCCAGACAGCAGAGAGCATAAAAATGAACCTGCTTTTGAGAAATATTTGCCAAAATAAACATGTTTTCATAAACTACAGCTCAAGTGACAAGCCTTTTTCACTATCCTTCATGCCCTAAAAGTTGATTTTTTAAGTGATATCTGTTCGTTTCCAACAACAGGAGATTGCAGCAATTTCGAAAGGGGTTGATACTGATCACATTTTAAGCACATAAAAAGAAGAAGTATCTCGGGATGGAATCTTCCATTCACGCAGGTCACAACAAAGGGGGATGTTGACAAGAGACACTGCATACATGGGGAAATGAAGACAACAGGGCAGTTGAAATTCATGGTGCACGTGCAAGAAACAGCTGGGAATTCAAGAGTAGATGAAATTTTTAAAAGCAAAAGAACCCACTGGAAAAGTCTGTTAAATGTACCTAAGAGCTCAGAGCACACATCAGTCATTTGCAGTCAGCTATGCAAACTGTAGACTCAGACCTAGGCATTATAAACCTAGGATATTCAAGGTTAATTTTATTTAAAGTCTAAAACATTAAGGTACCAAAATGTTACTTGGTCAGACAACTGTAATTTTACCAAGTACTATCATTACCAGAGAGATATTAAGTATCATACCTTTAGAATCCCTTTAGCCCTGGTCCCTGTGCACTACAGTATCCTCCCAGTGTTCCTGGGATTTTAGCATGACAGCAGAGATAAGGTTCACGGTAAATTAAAAATTCTTACTTGTGAAAAATATTAGGTGAAAAAACCCTAGATCTTTAAGTTTCATATTTAAACACAGCTATGCAGAAATTTTCAGTGAGTTTTAACCACAAATAAAATTAGAACAGCTTGGGATATGGCAGAATTAAGTTTGTATCTATGTATATAATATTATATTACATTACGTTACATACATTATGGCCCACAGAGGGCCAACTTTTACTTGTTGGTGAAATGCAGCTGCCTCTGGGATGAAGGGAAGCTTATTGAAACTTTAGCAAGAAATGAAGAACAATGGAGCCAACTGAAACACAAGAAGAGTTTTGGGGAATAAACACAAATGTTGACCACTTAAACTTAAAAAAAAAAGAGTGTATTTCACAATTATGCTTCAATGGGCTGTGATTTCTCTTAGACATACATATTGCTGGAGACTCTGTCTTTCATATGACACACAAAATAATGGTTCTGACCAATGCTGGTAAATAAAAAAATCTTATAAAATATTTTATAATAATAGAAAAGTCTATTTAAGTCTAAGTTTAGATGACCTTGCAAAAGTCTAGATACCAGGAGGTGCTGTTTGGCTTGACTCACA